TTTGTCTATTCTTCAAGTTATTCACTTTGCGTTTTCTTAGCTTAACCTATGGAGAACATATAGATTTTAATTAGTTTCAGTGTGGTTAATAAGTGGCATAAATTCCTCCCTTGTAATATTTGATGTGCTTTCGCAAAATGTATTAAAACAACAACAATTTATAAGTAATTTTAAGGGGATTGTTTAAACTGTGTGGCAAGTAACAAAAACATAGGATGAACTTCGAAACGAATTGATCTGATTAGTTTGTTGAATATAAACAGCTATATAAACTCCCCAGGGAATGATTTCGTGGATCTGAAAATCAAAATATAGAATTGCATCGGCCGGGAATCGAACCCGGGCCGCCCGCGTGGCAGGCGAGCATTCTACCACTGAACCACCGATGCTTATAAAAATATACGAAGTCTCATAATTCTCATATTCAAATTATTTATTATTCTATTTATAGAAGAATAATGGATATATTTAACCCTAATCATTATGGGGCCTCTCATCGAAATTTAGAAAGCAAACTAATGAACTCACGAAGGTACTTACCAGTTAAATCCAAATTTGTCACTTTCGAAGATTTAAACAATCGGTCAACTCCATTTCATACCTCCCGACTATACAATATAATGTCAACGGAGTATCTGATTTAAAATAAGGAAGATCTTGGCCGATTAGATTTATCCTAGTTCATACGATAGCTATACACTCAGAGAGAAACGTACCAAAATTTGGAATCGATCGGATTATTAGTTTTTGAGATATCATGCCCGCCATTCGCATAAACGCTGCTTGGATAATAATGTGTTAAATATTTGAAAAGCCCTCTTGCCGTTACTTGATGCTAGCACAATAAATCGGCTATATCTTCAAGAGTTGTTGAGATTGTCACTTGAAATTTTATAGGGACATTCTTGAATTAGTATAGATTCCAATTGAATCAAAATACAACATTAAATTTGCTGTAACCTTAAATCCAACTTTGGAAAAAGCAAACCTATATAACGTCTCAAGATTCTGTTTATCGGTCTACTCCTCTTGCAAAATCTCATAGAAAGAACAAATATTTACACATCGCCCTAATCTTAGCAAAAATAGATCCTGTCTGAAGACATACTCTATCGAAGTCTTAATAAGTTCGAGTTAGTTGTAGCGTTCAATTTTTGTTTCTGAATGACTTCAAATAAAATATAACTTATCCTGGAAAAGGCATTCCGTTAAAAGTCGTCTGTTTAGGATATAGAAAATGTAAAATATCAAATTGCATCGGCCGGGAATCGAACCCGGGCCGCCCGCGTGGCAGGCGAGCATTCTACCACTGAACCACCGATGCTTATAAATAGTTCGAAAATCCATATCATGATTTATCACTAATTATAATTCGCATATGTAAATTTATACAAATTAAGATTTCAAAATTTGAATACTCAACAGATATTCCACAATAAAATAAATCAACTTGTTGGTCGAAGGACCATTTCCACCTGAATTCCTATAGCTAAAGATTGGTGCTAAAACCACCACAAAGTAGAGAACTGCATCTTTTCAATATTTGTACTTTAAAGAGTGGGTAATCAATGGTTATATTGAGGAAGGATTTGTGTAGAATCTCCATCCTCCGTTGAAACTTATTAAAGGAATACAAATCGTGTCTGGATTTAGTGATTTGTTCGCAGTATCGATGATTCAATACCCGACTGTACTTCTAACCTCAATTACAACTTCAAAATATCGAATTGCATCGGCCGGGAATCGAACCCGGGCCGCCCGCGTGGCAGGCGAGCATTCTACCACTGAACCACCGATGCTTATGCATGAATTTCCGAACTCTAAAATCAGCATCCAAAACAATGCCAGATTTGACCATAAAAATTTTAATTTTTCAAAACGAAATCTCTATGTCTCATTTACTCTAATTTCATATGTACATAATTTATTAGCATTATCAGATTAATATTCATGCACCATTTGTGTTGTTGAAAGATCATCAGTCGTTAAAATAAAGTCTTCGAATTGATTTCATTTAATTATTAGAGAGATTTGAATATATTTAAACCTAACGTACGAGTTTATTCAAACTTTATAATGAATAATTTAAATTTTTGTACTTCGAATGTACTTCTTGCTGCGCAAATGTCCATGATGAACCCAAAGTCCCGATATGGTTCAAGAATATATTTTTAAAATATCTAAAAAAGGACATCTCCCTGATTCATAGCCTTATAGGCATCGGTGGTTCAGTGGTAGAATGCTCGCCTGCCACGCGGGCGGCCCGGGTTCGATTCCCGGCCGATGCAACCACATCTTTTAACACTTCAAAAGTACGTCGAAATCGTTTATAACGACAGTAAGGATCGGCAGAATTAGTCGCTATAAGCGATATGATCGCTATACGATATCAAATAAAAGGAAGGACCCGGTACTTCCAATTGTGTATATTGTTCGGTTAATTGCTATAAGCATCTTGATATGGCTAAAAAAATTTTTCGCTGTACGATATTAAACCCTGTTAATTGAAACAAAAATGTCATCAAAAATAAATTTCCTTTTACTTTTCACCGGTTAACTAATTTGACAAATAATCTGTCATTTTTTACATACATATTTGACATATAATTCAAAACATATGTTTATATGCGTAATTTGTATTTGACGATTTTTTTATAAACGATTATCGTGATTAATGTAATTGAACAAACTATTATATCATGAATGAACAAAAATACTGTGCAATTAACGAAAAATATACATTAATGATATTGTGGTTCAAACTTTTAATGACACTATAAAGACGGAATAGTTATTATCTGTGTGCATATGTTTATTAAAAAATATATATTCCAATCCAAATCGGAATTAAATCCCTAATAGTGTCTGAAATAGTTCGCTATCTTAGATCGAAAATCTATAGAATATACACAATATAATCAAATGTAATCTATGTCTAATTTACCCGTGTAAATTTTTTATCCCCATCAGCACATTGTAGTACTATTCCGATGTCTTCCAAGTTTAGGCCAATTTTATATTTAAGGGCTTTAAAAAAGATATATCTGCATCGGCCGGGAATCGAACCCGGGCCGCCCGCGTGGCAGGCGAGCATTCTACCACTGAACCACCGATGCTTGTATTTAAACCATACTGACCAAAAGTTATCGAAATTCAAATATTTATTTTAAATATTAAATTATAATATATTACATACTTCTCAGTTAAAGAACTCGTTCAAAATTAAATCAATACGGATACTCTTATCAGTTTTCATTTAACCCATCCCACCCCATTATCATGTCCAGTGTGATAGATAGTGTGGTCTTGGACACTGTTCTAATAATAAGCTATCAATGGAGTATACACAAATCGGACATATTTCAAAAAAATATATAATGTTATTATTCGTACTGGAACACAGCCATGGTATTAATAGCTAAAATGTATAAATATTGAAATTGTATAAATATTATAAAACAGGCATATTAATGCAGATTCGGAACATATCTACAGTAGTGTCCCTAGGCTAACGAACCTCTAACACTATTATTATTTAATATTGTTATTATCATACAAGAAGGGTCGAAATTAAATACGATCTGCGGAAAATTAAAGCCCAGTGGTAGTTTGTGTTATAGGTCCGGCAATACCATTATACCATTTCCTAGAAAAATATTAGATTGCATCAGGTTTCCTGGAAAAAATATTAGACTGCATCGGCCGGGAATCGAACCCGGGCCGCCCGCGTGGCAGGCGAGCATTCTACCACTGAACCACCGATGCTTATAAAAACGTTCTGCGTTAAATATTCAATAATAGGAGTTTTCAAAATTAAAAAAAAATTATCTCACGGAACTTTGATATTTTTTTCGTATGAAGATACATCGAAACTCACTACACACTTTAGAATCCCAGTCTTAAAAATTGGTTCAATATATAATCTTACCTTGCAATATATATTGTTTAAGATTTTTTGTTTTTGATTCCTTTCCCATGACATATATTCAGCCTTGAATATTTAGTAGAAACATCCCACCTTATTATCTGCATAACCCTAACCAAAATACTTAAAAATATAGACTGCATCGGCCGGGAATCGAACCCGGGCCGCCCGCGTGGCAGGCGAGCATTCTACCACTGAACCACCGATGCTTATAGGGTTAAAAAGTATCGGAATATCTGATCTAACCTATGCTCAGATTCGGCTGGCCCCGGGCCTCCTCTCTGGCTGCGTCTTTGTCATCCATATCATTGGGAGCTCCTCAAAAAAATATTTGTAGACCCTTTATTGTATGCTATAATATTGCTAATTTCCGAGAAAATAGAAATGCAAAACTATAATTTTGCACAGACATGTTCCATGGATTTGATCCATGCTTCGTCTTAATGGATTTCGGTATTTAGATGTTCCAACATAATTAGCTGCAATTTAGCTCTTAAAATTAGTGAAGGGTTAGGTTCGCCTTTGCAAAAAAATGGTCGATATATTTCTAGACTTAGATGTAGCCCCCATGTAAGGATACCTTCCAATTACTCATTCTGTGGTCACTATAAAGGTCAATGGGTGTTTATATAGACCTGTTTCCTTTATATAGGCAAATTTGTATTTATAAATTCCCTGTATAGAGTCTATGCAGGCCAATTGGTAATTATAAATACCTGTGAGCTCTGTACGGGGCAATCGGTTCTTAAAAAGCCCTACGGTCTCTACACCGATCAATTGATATTTTTTGAAGCCTGTGGTATCTCTGCAGATAAGTTAGACAATATAAAGACTTTATAAACTAATTGATCATTATAAAGACATTTAGGAGTTGTAATGCCGAATATGTATTTTTAGAATTTTAAATGATTGAATATATAAATTTGGTTTCACTTGTGTATGAAATTACTCAACCAAAAAATTTTAATTTCTGAAATATATCTGAATATTCAATATTTTATTAATAAATAAAATTTTATTCAAATTATATTATTTATATTCTAAATAATATTTGTTTTTATTTAATTTTTTCCAGCACCCGATCCACCCTCCAACCTATCCGTACAGGTGCGTAGCAGTAAAAATGCCATAATACAATGGTCACCGCCGTTACAGGGCAATTATACAGCATTTAAAATTAAGGTCTTGGGCCTATCGGAAGCTTCCAGTTCATATAATCGAGTATTCAATGTCAATGATTCAACATTCCAACATAGTGCTAAAGAGCTGACACCGGGTGCCACATATCAGGTGCAGGCCTATACCATATACGATGGCAAAGAATCGGTGGCCTATACAAGTCGTAATTTTACCACAAGTAAGTCACGCAGATATAATCCAGATGATACCACAAAACGACCAAATAAATGTTCTTTTTAGTTATTCAAACATAATTTGTATTTAAATTTATTATTAATTTAAAATTTTCAATTTTATTAGTTTTTATTTATTAAAATTCAAATTCCAAAAAAGTATTTCACGTCCATTTATGTTTTAATGTTTTTTGTTGGTTTTCTATTTTTCGCTATGGTTTTGGTTTCATTATTTTGCTTTTGGTATTTTTTTATGTTTTATGTGGCGTGGAAGATTCTGTAACTAATATTTAATTTAAAAAATAATAATACACTATTAAAATTCACAAAATCTCTTCTCTATAATCTAATAACAAAATAATAATAATGCTTAACCCCCCAAAAATACACAAAACCTAAAAAAGTACGGAGAACACGGCATAAAGATTTACTGGATATTAAAATCTTAAGAGGTAAAGTTTACAACAATTGGTTAATAAGTTTCCATATATATTTTTTCCAAAATTTGTTGTCTATATACAAAAATATATACAAATTGTTTGTTGTATATGAAAAAAATATTATTACTCAAGTATAATTATTAAAAATATTAAAATGCTACATATATATTTGTTTATATGCAATTGATTTTTCCAATATAAAAAAACAATATTTTTTAAAGTAATTGCACCCAAAAAATATTTTTGCATTGAATTTAATTTTTAATATGTTTGTCTTCATTACTTTTTTTCAAAAAAATATACATATTTAATTAATTCTACTTTTTTGCAATTATTTTGTTGTGCCTTGTTTTAATATTATTCTAATTTATTTATAACCACTAAATAATACACGTTATCTACAACGTATTGTACACAGTTTGTTTCGTTTTTATGGTCATTGTATTGTAAGGCAATAAATCGCTGATTTTTATTGTTTTCGAAGCGTAACAAATATTTGTTATTGTTGAAACAAAAAAAAAAACGAAATTATGATTTAAACAATAATTACAATATATAGGCATGTGTAGTTATAATATTTTTTTTTTTTAATTTAATTAAATAATTTGTTTTTTATAACATCTAGCTGACTACGTTTGTATGGTCCCGAGAGTTGTAAACCCTTGAAATTTTGATCTTAGGCCCGCCTTTATCTCGACTAGCTAAACCCATACAGCTATGAGTGCTTATCCGAAAATCTAAAAACTGGTCCAAATTATGAACCACAATTTTATATTAAATTCCTTTTCAGCCCAAGGACTACACCTTTAGGTTTTACTAACTAATTATGAGGAATCAAGCGAACCAATAATCATTTGAAGGTGTGGAAAATCCACAGATGTCAGTTTTTATAGCCTACACAAGAATGTGCAAAACCAAGAAATGATGATCGTGGTGAAAAAAAATATATGCGGATCATTCGACATTAAATGTCAATACCGGAAGAGCCAAACAATATCTGCATTTAGAATGTGGATTTTTTCTTTGGAAGAAGATTTACTGAGGGAGCCGAAAATCGGAAAAGGGTAACAAAGAGGCAGACGCTATTTCCAAATATTCCAAAACAAACTGGATTTATTCCTGGTATTTCAAAACCAGATTTATTGAACCAAATATATCGAACTTCGGTTAAATGAAACATACATCAATTATTCGGACCTCGCATTATTTAAAACTCGGATAACTGAAACAAACCCCCTGCATTCGGTCACTTGCAATTAGGTAGATGTGACAGAACATTTGTTCCTTAAGCCAATCTTAAAAAATATTTCCAGACGCGTCGGTCTTGTGCGCAGCTCTTCCAATTTGAAAGTCCATATTCCGAGATGATGTCTTCCACTGATCTTTTAATCAAATTCGTGGCCTCCCCTTCTACGGGAACCATCAGTTGGGTCGCCTTTATATGCCTTTTGAGCTCGGGAGATGGCCTTGTTTCAAAACTGCTTTCATTGACCACAGTAGCATATGTTTGCCAACACTATTCTCCTCCAAATTTCAACATGACCAAGGTATATAGCCAACGTAGTCGCTGCAGCTCGATACTATTTCTGACTATTTCGACACATGTCCTAAATTTGTTCGACCCATTATGTCCATGTCGTCAGCGTACAACTAATGGTTCAAAAGTTTGTAACGCCGCAAAATATTGAAATATTGATTTTTGGAAAATCCGAAATAGAGCCTTTCATTTTTTTTAGGAATTTTTACTAGTCTTAAATTTTTGTTATTTATTTTATTGACCGATTTTAGTTCTTTTAATTATTGATGGTTTTGTTGTTGTTGATCTTTGATGGAGAATTTTTCTCGTTGGTTTTTTTCAACTTTTTCAAACACTACATAAAAAGATCTGAAATATTGTCTATTAATCTGCTTGCTTTTGAAAGGCGATCTTCATTTTTTTATTTTTAGCGGCAGGTTTTTAATTCATCATCCTTAAAGTTCTGCGTGATAAACATTTCTAAGTACGATTTCAAAAGCATTTGACATTATGGAATATTCAGATCTCCTCAATTCTCATTAATTCATTTAATTAGTTTGATTACAACAATTTGCATATTAGGGTTGCAAATAGAATAGAACTTTAATTTTGTTTGAAAAAATCATCTTGTTTTTATTTTTTATACAATTAATTGACCCAATATTCCTTACATTAAACCCAAATCCAAACATCTAACACATTTTTGTTAATTTATAAACTTTGCATTACAACTAAAGCCTTTATTTGTAATAATTGTATAATTTATGTAAGAAAACAGTTTTTTGTTTTCCCTGTAAATTGTTTTCCGTTCTTAATTTCTGTCTATTATTTGGCTATCATAACGTATCACTACTTCTGTTTTATTTATTTTTTGGCAATGGTAACATAAAAATTCCATTATCCTGTTTGCATTCCTCCATTTCCCCCATCAAGTCAATTTAACTTTTATGTAGAAATTATTAAATCCTTTCATGTGCCACTTATCGAAAATGTGAATTCCTACTAACCATTTAGCTGCACATGCATTCAAAATAATACTATCGTAACAGAGCATATATGTATAGCTGGTTATGGGTTATGGAGTGCATGCTTGCAACATGTTTGTAGTTATGGCGATGATAATGTTCGTCCTTTACCCGTAACTGTATCCTGTAGAGGAATGCTTGTTTTTCCAACTTGCATACTTCAAATTGATTTTGGATCGTAGCACACACACATAGGCATGCTGAAAATCCTACCGAAATATCATAGGAACATAATATGCTGTAACATGGCATCTCTTATTTTTACCACATACCAGACATATACATATCTACATACACACACTTTTATGTACATACACACACATTTATTGAAACAACAACAAATTCACATGAAATCAATTTTCCCGTTTTTTTTCTTTTTTTCTCTCCTTTGTATCTGTAAATTCATTGAACAAAACACCACCAACTTTGGTAATACCTTCTTCTACTTCACCTCATCATGCAACGAAATCCAAAAAAAAACTCAAAATCGGCAATTTCATGATTATTCCGCTTGTTATACCACCCACACATCCGTCCTCTTGGCTGAGTAGAACCCAATACACCGGGTAAATTCATTGTATGGTTTCGTAATGAAACCACTTTATTGGTCCTTTGGCAGCCACCATATCCTGCCGGCATTTATACACATTACAAAGTCTCGATAGAGCCACCAGATGCGCTGGAAAGTGTTTTGTATGTGGAAAAGGAGGGTGAACCACCGGGACCAGCACAGGCGGCATTTAAGGGTTTAGTTCCAGGCCGGGCATATAATATATCGGTACAAACCATGTCGGAGGATGAGATATCTCTACCCACCACCGCGCAATATCGTACAGTACCGTTACGACCATTAAATGTAACATTTGACAAAGACTATATAACGTCGAATTCATTTCGAGTGTTGTGGGAGGCCCCCAAAGGTGTATCCGAGTTTGATAAGTATCAGGTATCCTTAGCCACCTCTAGACGACAGTCAACAGTGCCACGTACCGATGATCCTATAGCCTATTTTGATTTCCGTGATATACCAGAACCGGGAAAGACATTCAATGTTATTGTCAAAACCGTCTCGGGCAAGGTAACATCATGGCCCGCCACCGGCGATGTAACACTGAGACCCTTGCCAGTACGAAATTTGCGATCATTCAATGATGATTCTAGCAATAGCATGATTATAACTTGGGAACCTGATCCAACATCGACCCAAGATGAATACCGTATTGTCTATCATGAATTGGAGACGTTTAATGGTGACACCAGTACCCTATCCACTGATCGCACACGTTTCAATTTGGAAAGTCTTTTGCCAGGACGTAACTATTCGGTGTCCGTACAGGCTCTGTCAAAGAAAATGGAATCCAATGAAACAACAATATTTGTGGTAACACGGCCATCCTCACCCATTATTGAAGATTTGAAGAGCATTAAAATGGGACTCAACATCAGCTGGAAGAGTGATGTCAATTCCAAGCAGGAACAATATGAAGTACTGTACTCACGTAATGGTACCTCTGAGGTTAGGACAGTTTTTACAAAGGAATCACGATTGGTAATTAAAAATCTACACCCAGGAGCTGGTTATGAAGTCAAGGTCTTCGCTGTCAGTCATGGTTTGAGAAGTGAACCACATTCCTATTTCCAGGCAGTTTGTAAGTATAAAAGAAATATTTTACATTTCAAAATTTTCAATATTTCTAATTTATTTCCGCTTTCCTTTCTAGATCCCAATCCGCCACGTAATTTAACCATTGAAACTGTACGCAGCAATTCCGTGTTGGCCCATTGGGCTCCTCCGGAAAATAGTGATTTCACTGAATACAACATACGCTATCGCACTGAAAGTGAACAACAATGGGTACGTTTGCCCAGTGTACGCTCCACTGAGGCCGATATTACCGACATGACCAAGGGTGAAAAGTACACCATTCAAGTGAATAGTGTAAGCTTTGGTGTAGAAAGTCCCAATCCCCAAGAGGTTAACACCACAGTACCACCCAATCCTGTCTCGAATATAATTCCCTTGGTAGATTCACGTAATATTACCTTGGAATGGCCCAAACCAGAGGGCCGCGTTGAGTCGTACATTCTTAAATGGTGGCCCACAGACAATCCATCGAAAACCCAAACGAAAAATGTTTCCGAAAATAAATCAAGTAAGTACAACTCTCAAAATATACATTGTAACATGTACTCAACTTAAATACAATCTCCTCCATTACAGCCGATGACATTTCCACAGTTCGAGTACTTATTGGCGATCTGATGCCGGGTGTGCAATATAAATTTGATATACAAACTACATCGTATGGTATATTCTCCGGCACCACCCACCTTTCAACACGCACAATGCCTTTGATACAATCCGAAGTGGTGGTGGTCAATGATAAACAAGAAGATGAACGTGACACAATTACCCTGTCCTATACACCCACTCCTCAGTCATCATCGAAATTCGATATCTATCGCTTCTCTTTGGGTGATCCTGAAATCAAGGATAAAGAAAAACTTGCCAATGATACTGATCGCAAGGTTACCTTTACCGGTTTGGTACCAGGTCGTCTATATAACATCACTGTTTGGACTGTTAGCGGTGGTGTTTCCAGTCTACCCATACAGAGACAAGATCGCCTATTCCCCGAACCCATCACCCAACTACATGCCACCAATATAACCGATACTGAAATCTCTCTGAAATGGGATATGCCCAAGGGTGAATTCAATGATTTCGATGTACAATATCTGACCGCCGACAATATACTCGCACAAAATATAACAACACGCAATGAAATCACCATAACCGATTTAAAGCCGCATCGCAATTATACATTTACAGTGGTTGTACGTTCCGGTACCGAATCATCGGTATTGCGAAGTAGTTCTCCTCTGTCGGCCAGTTTTAGTACCAATGAAGCGGTACCAGGCCGTGTGGAAAGATTCCATCCGATAAATGTGGAACCCAGTGAAATACTGTTTGAATGGTTACTGCCACAAAGTGAAGCTAATGGCATCATCCGACAATTCTCCATAACCTATATGAATATAAATAATGCTACAGAGAGGAAAACGGTTGATTTTGATTCATCCGAATCGACGGGTTCGATAAAGAGTTTGAAACCCGGAGAGACTTATGTTTTTAAAATACAAGCTAAAACCTCAATTGGTTATGGACCGGAAAGGGAATATAAACAGACAATGCCGATTTTGGCACCACCCAAACCCGCAACACAAGTTGTACCCACCGAAGTTTATCGCAGTTCATCGACCATACAAATACGTTTCCGTAAAAATTATTTCTCCGATCAGAATGGTGTGGTGAGTATATATTTTTTTAGTCAACAGATAATAGACACATGGTTCCTTTTGAGATTATGCATAGAATTTCTGAGTCGATTTATGCATGTCCGGCCGTCCGTCGGTCCATATTAAATTGTAAACAATGTACAGGTTGCATTTATGATCCTAATTGGATGAAATTTGTCACAGCTCAGTTATTTTGCTCAAGGACGAACCCTGTAAAAAATCGGTTAAGATTTAGATATCGCTCCCATATATAGTTTCGTCCGTCCAATGTAAAGTGAATTACCACAAATTTTTACACAAAGTACTCAAGTTACTATAACATAACGGGTGTCAAGTTTTGTTGACATCAGTTCAGATTTAGATATAGCTCCCATTAATATTTTCGTCCGATTTTATGTTAATTGGGCCCAAAGTCGCTATATTTCTTTCGATTTGCAAGATATTTGACATAGCTTACTGAATTGAGTCTGTAATGACGTGTGCTAAGTTTCGTGAAAATCGGTTCATATTAAGATATAGCTCCCATATATATTTTTATGTTAAAATATTCTTTCGATTTGCACGACATTTTGAACATCGTACTGAATTTAGGATAGCATAACGTATGCGAAGTTTTATTGGAATCGGTTTAGATTTAGATATAGCTCCCATATATATTTTCGCCCGATTTCCTGTTAATTTGGCACCAAAGACCCTATATTCATTTCGATTTGCACGGCATTTGGCATAGCGTACTGAATTGAGTCTGGAATGATGTGTGCTAAGTTTCGTGAAAATAAGTTCAGATTTATATATAGCTCCCTAATATATTTTAGTCCCATTTAATGTTATTTGAGCAACAAACCCCCTATTTTTCCTCCATTAGCACGAAATTTGGCCTAACGCACTGAATATAGACTGGAATGGTGTGTGCTAAGTTTCATGAAAATCGGTCCAGATATATATATATATATATATATATATATGTATAATATTTTAGTCCAATTTAATGTAAAGTGTACAAAAGTCTCTATATTTATTTCGATTTGCACGAAATTTCGTGTGTTGGGATAAATATGTAAAATATTCCCATAGTGGAGAAGGGTATTAAATAGTCGGCCCGTCCGACTTTACTGCTTTCTTTACTGGTTTTATTTAGATCCTTAGTTAATGTTCATCAAATAAAGAGTTCGGTTCGAATGCATATTCATACTGCATAATAATAATTTGCGAATAATAATTCCTTTAATTTCCGACGATTTACTTATCGAATTAATCAAAAATATAATCTCTATCTTTTTAGGTTCGCATGTACACAATTATTGTGGCCGAAGATGATAGTAAGAATGCATCCGGCTTGGAAATGCCCAGCTGGCATGATGTTCAATCGTATAGTGTTTGGTTGCCATATCAAGCTGTAGAACCCTATTATCCATTTGAAAATAGTTCTGTGGAAGATTTTACCATTGGCACTGAAAACTGTGATAATCGTAAGAGTGGCTATTGTAATGGACCGCTGAAATCGGGTACCACATATCGTGTAAAAGTTCGTGCCTTCACTGCACCAGACAAGTTCACCGATACCGCCTACAGTTTCCCCATACAAACAGGTGAGTTTATGGTTCAATCCATAATTTATTTAATTCAATTATTATTTATAAATAGAAAATACCTTGTAATCCTTTTTGATATTAAATCTAAAATGTTTTAAAATTTTTATTTTCCAACAAAAATTAATATCTTTTAAAAAAATATGATAAATATTTAAAAAATGATTCTTTATAAATCGTTTTATGTCTTGCTTACACAAAAATATAATTTTTGTCATATACACACAAATACAAAAAAAAGATCTACTAACCTCTCCTGGTAAGTTATTTGGAACCAATGATATTAACCATTTTTATAAAACCCTAACAATTTAACGATATATTTAACACACATGGTTTTTTCTTTTTGTTTTCCATTCTTCCAAAAAACCCCTTCTCTAGATCAAGACAACACATCATTGATTGTTGCCGTTACTGTGCCATTGACAATAATTTTAATATTACTGGTTACCTTGGTGTTCTATAAGAGACGTCGCAATAATTGCCGTAAAACCACCAAGGATTCTCGTGCCAATGACAATATGTCCCTGCCGGATAGTGTAATTGAACAAAATCGCCCGGTGCCAATTAAAAACTTTGCCGAACATTATCGTATGATGTCAGCCGATTCCGATTTCCGTTTCAGCGAAGAATTTGATGAGCTGAAACATGTGGGTCGTGATCAGCCATGTACATTTGCCGATTTACCATGTAATCGCCCGAAAAATCGTTTTACGAATATTTTACCCTATGATCATTCACGTTTCAAATTACAACCGGTCGATGATGATGAGGGTTCAGATTACATAAATGCCAATTATGTACCCGGTCATAATAGTCCGCGTGAATTTATTGTTACCCAGGGTCCACTGCATTCAACACGTGATGATTTCTGGCGTATGTGCTGGGAAAGTAATTCACGGGCAATTGTCATGCTGACAAGGTGTTTTGAAAAGGGCCGTGAAAAATGTGATCAATATTGGCCAAATGATACCGTACCAGTATTCTATGGTGATATCAAGGTGCAAATATTAAATGACAGTCATTATCCAGATTGGATTATGACCGAGTTTATGGTGTGCAGGGTAAGATATATAAATTTATTTTCTAATTCTTAAATTTTATAAACTATTTTTTATTATCTCTCATTATAGGGAAGTGAACAACGTATTATACGCCATTTCCACTTTACAACATGGCCTGATTTTGGTGTGCCAAATCCACCTCAAACTCTTGTGCGTTTTGTTAGAGCATTCCGTGATCGCATTGGCACCGACCAGCGACCCATTGTTGTACACTGTAGTGCTGGTGTTGGTCGTTCGGGTACATTTATAACATTGGATCGTATTTTACAACAGATAAATACCTCTGATTTTGTTGATATCTTTGGTATTGTCTATGCCATGAGAAAAGGTACGAACCAAAACAAAAATATTATTTGGTATACTAATATATTTTCTTTAATTTATTGAATAGAACGTGTTTGGATGGTCCAAACGGAACAGCAATATATTTGCATCCATCAATGTCTTTTGGCTGTGTTAGAGGGTAAAGAAAATATTATTTGTCCACCCCGTGAAATGCACGACAATGAGGGCTATGAAGGTAAGTTTTATTACTTGTTGTTGTTATTGTTATTTTATATTATTTCTGATAATTCAGATTGATGGTTATTGGTGAATGGGTTTATGGATAAACTCTATACGGGATACTGGATTAAAAATACATGTTTAAAATTTCGTTCCTATGGATGTTTTATAAATTAAAAACCTTTAGTCTAATTTGCTTTAGGTTTGACTGTCTATGCTATTGTCTCAATATTTAAACATTTTTTAAAAAATATATACACCTAAGTCTGTTTTTACACGGTAGATTGGTTCCAGAAGAAGCCGTGTAAAAAAAAACCGTGTAAAAAAAGACATAGATCTTATACATAAAGGGAATTCCCATAAATTAGTGCTATTCACTTTTGCTTTGACCAGTAAAAATTATTTGTACGCGCTAAAGGGGAATTCACTTAAATCTTTAAGCTAGTGTTCGCAAACTATCGATACTATCGATGGTTTCAGACTTTTTTCTTTCATAAATACATTTTTGTGATATGAACATATTTCGCAAAAATTAAATTTGACAAAAAAATTTAAGTACATAAAATTTCAAATCGTGCTAAATGGAATAAAATCGTCTAAAAAAATTTAAAATATTCAATTTTCAAACCGTGTTATATCAAAACCGTATACAAAAAGACCGTGTAAAAACAGACTTAGGTGTATACAAAATTAAGAAGCAGCGTTTCACTTATTAAATTATAGTACAGATCATTTTTTTTTTTTAATTTATAACATTAATAAATAAGTAACAATTTAGGAGCAATTCCAATCTATAAAAATAGCCGACTTGTTATAATTGATATAAATTACGTTAGTTAGTAACAAAATTCGTTGAAATATCGAGGGACTGACCGGTATTCTCACAAGACATAACAGCCCGTAGACCCACTTACATAAGATTGGATGCGAGGGAAGCAGCTGATGCAGAACGTGAGGGGAAGACAGCGAAACGTTAGAACGTTTTATGTGTCAATGCCCAGCCTTTTTAAGCTTCCGATCTTAACTCTTGGGAAATGACACATTTCATGAACTAACCGACCTAATGGGTTGTGAATGGAAAAAACTGAAGGACTTCACTAACAAAACAAAGTTCCAGAGTAGCTCGGAATTAAGACAACATATCATAATAAAGCAGAAAATATCCATATTCTTCTCCTCTTGTAAAGTGTTGGTCATTGATCTGTTTATATTGTATTTGTGCATATGTTTGTTACATCAAAAGAAACCGAGATAGACACATGGTTCCTTCTTTAGATTTAGATATAGCTCCCATATATAGTTTCGTCCGAGTTTATGTAAATCCCAACATTTGTCCGATTGAGACAAAATTTTGAACAGAGTACTGAATTAAGTGCTGATTGATGTCCGCGAAGTTTTGTTAAAATATATTCAGATTAATATATAGCTCTTATATATAGTATGGTCCGATTTTATGTAAATGGTCTCCCAATATTTTCCGATGGAGACAAAATTTTGCACAAAGTACTGCAATAGGTGCATATTAATGTATGCGAAGTTTAGGGGAAATCGGTCCTGATTTGGATTAATCTCCCATATATAGTTTTGTCCGATTTTAGATAAATGGTACACCAAACTCCCAATATTTGAGTTGAATTCGATTCATATTTTATGTAAATGATGCCCCGAAGAGCCTATTTTGTTCGATTCACACGAAATTTGGAAGAGGTGAATTTAGAGTGATGTTTATTAAAGTTGCAAAAATCGGTTTAGATTTCTAAGTTCCGGATTTAGTAATCGTCCCATCGTTTTCAACTGAAAAGGGACATAGATTAATCGGTCTACATATCCAAACACATATTGATCCACATAATTCCCTAAATTTTAACATAACAATACCAATCATCTGTGACCGAAATGCGAACGACACACATAGCTTGCTAGAATCATATCGTTTGACTCTTATTATACTAAAAGCTGGATTTTCGGGATCAATATTAATTCAATACATCAAGTCTTAAGTCTATACATCATGACTTCCTAATTAAAATTTTGGAAAAAGTTTTCGGAAATATCATATTTTTTTATCTTAAAATTAATTTATAGATTGTCTAATCCAAATCAATCTGAAATGCTGGTGCGCTATGACAATATAACGTGTTTCCCCTCATCATGTGTGTTTGTTTGACGTCATTGCTAGACAAGCAGCCACTCATAAAAATCCAAAAACATACCGTTTACAACAACCACATTTATGGGGTGTGGATCTATTGTTGTTGTAAACGTTGTGTGTGCTGCTTGTTAATCACTTGTATACGATCGCTGGGTATGTGAATACCAGATATGAATTCCTATACAATTTGTTACCTTCAGTGTATTTCTAATTTTTAAATCTTTTCAACATTCTTCGATAGTTCTCATTTAGATTATAATTCTCCGAACTAATAGCGTTCACATTGAGTGTGTTGAAATTAAGACTATACTTCACAGGATCATTTCTGTAGTCAGTCTTCAATTACTTTCATTGCAAAATGAAAAATCACACACCCGCGATGAGGAGGTACATCGTTTTATCTGTAGCGTGAGGTTTTGAACTTTGTCTTTTGTTTGCCGATTCCGGTTGATTGGGACAAAGTTTCTTCGATGATCGCTCGATTAAACGGATAAAACGACTTCTGAGTGGTGTCATCCCCCTTTTAATTAATAAATTTAAAAGAAACTTGGTTTTTCGATTCGTTCGATTGCAATAGCTACCTTCCATAAAGTGAGGAATATTCTAAGGATATAAAGATTTCCAAAAGGTCAAATAATTGTAATATGTATGTATATAGGATCTATAATGTCTTCCGTAATATATGAGAATTGTATTTAAAATATTTTATCAAACAAATAGAATCCAGTCTGTAGGTCTTCTAATTATAACTGTAAAGATTTAAAAGATTCTATCTACCTGTAGGTTATTGAAGTATGTTGTGATAAACTGTGTAATCCATGAGATTCTGTGGCAGAAATTAGGGTTTTATAGATGAAAGGAAAATAATATTTTTTAAATGTAATCTCTAAATTTGTTATTATTTCATTTAGACATATAGTATAATAGTAAATAAAATATATATTTTTTATAAATCAATCTAACGATATCATATAAGACCATGACTACTTAGAAAAACTAAAACTGTATATGTATTCAACCTTTAATAACAATACATATGAACTATAAAGAAAATTTTAAACATGTTTATTTCTTTATAAATAAATATATATTTCATATTCATTTTAACAATCTGAATTATTTCATAAATCACATTTTTTTAAATTTACACACAAAAAATCATGTACTTGGTGTTGGGTTTCAATGCGTAACTAACATGCCACAACAACTATTTTTTCTCTTTTTTCTTCCCTAAACAAATACACAAATTAAAATAAATATATTCTAAAAAAACAATATGAAAAAACACAAATTTTTATAAACTGCACATAATTCCTAAACCAAAAAAAAGGACAACCTTGTCAATTCGATGAAAATGGTGAAATCATTGCCACCATTGAAGGTCACAATGAAATGCACGATATGATATTACAACCCGAAGATGCCGAAGCCATTGACGATGAAAATGCTGGCATTATCAATGACGATCAACAGCCGCTGACTAGTTTCGGCGGTGGTGCTATACACAGTGCTTCCATGACATCCTTTGGCACATCTGGCCAGGCTTATACAAGCGATTCTTTGGACAGATGACATACGGCCAATCAGAACGATAACAACAATTCGGTGGTTATCGTTCTGGTTGACAATAAGCCTAGTTCGATGATCTGTAAGGAAGGTTCCATAGATGTCATTAGCATTGGTGGCGGTGGCAATACGACCACAACCACAAGCAGTAATAATAGTGCCAATTCGCAGCAGCAACTGAATGGTATCGGTGCTGGGGACAACAGCGGACAACACCGCGGTTCAATAGCCACCATAACAAATGGTCACAATACGTTACAACATAGGCGCAAATCACAATTAATAACATTTAGTTCATCTTCCTGTGATATTAAGAATAGTCTTAGCCATGAATATATTATGGTCAATAATAATAATAGTAATGCAACTAAAAATAATTCCTCAACGAATGGAATCACTGGCAGTCACACAATTGCCCGGGGCAGTACTGGTAGTGGTTCGCAAGCGGGCATGGGCAGTGCCCATAATAATACACGCCTCAGTTTTGCCGAGGAAGATATTATGATAATAACCGGAGCACATCAGCCATCGTCTCAGACACCGCATCAGCAACTACAACAGTCCCAAGTTCCAAATGGTTCAATAACCGGTTCCAATGGCAGTGCTTGTGGCTCTGTGGATCATGGCAATGATCTAGATGATGATGTATTTCGTCGACATTCCCTTGAGGTGGACGAAGAGGCTCAAGATGCCCTATATAATGAAGAATATGGTAGTACACATATCGATGCCAAATCCAATAATGCCAATAACGATGATAGCGGTGGTGGTAGTTATGAAGATTCACACGCCCTGCACAGTTCCCTCGGCGGTAGTAATCGCAATAGTTTAGAAAAGGATGATGACGAAATTGAAGTGGATGTCATTAGCACCGATGCCAGTTGTTATGATCAGCTGTTGGGCAGTAGTTGTAATACGCGCAACGATGAAGATGAAATTGCCACCATAGTTGGTGATGCTGACAATTATACGAAACTCTCGAAACATAATAATATGAAAACGAATGGTGTTAATTCATATGGAATAGTAAATGGTAGTGCTGGAGGTGGAGGAGGTGTCGGTGGTGGTAGTATTGGTGAAACTGGTGGTGGTATTATATATGCCAATCCTTTTATGGGTTTGTACAAAAATTTTTATTATAAAATAAGTAGATTTGCTGGTTGTCTTCTTTAGTTTGTAATATGTTTGTTTTTATTGAAAAAACAATTGCATGCTGTTTTAAAAATTGAATTGAATTATTTTTTAACAAAAACTTGAATATATAATAAACTATTGATTTATTAAACCGATAACAGAATCGTATTACGAATGTTTGTAAGGGATAGTATATGTTTAATAAATCAATAGTGTATATACTTAACTATCGTACTTTCTGGATACTCTCCTCATTTACATATTACGTACAATTTTAAAACATTTTTTTAAAATTAAAAAATAATTGAAGGCTGGGCCAACATAACAATATCAAATAATACTTCAAATTTTCACTTCATGATATTTTTTAATAGTATTATGAAAGGTAATTTTTAAAAAGAAAGATTCACCCGATTTCAGTAAATGGTGCAGTAGAGAACCCACTTCAGTTCGAATTACACTACATCGCCTTATTGATCTATTGTTGTTGCCAGCGCCATCTATTGAATGGGTAGAATCAAAAATCGATTATGGAAAAATTTAAAACTCATTTGTATTTTTTCTTGACCTTTTGATCTACTGTAGATATCTTAATGAAATTGGTGTCATGTGAAATTGTATTTTTCAACTGCATGGTTTGAATTGTGTCCATCAATATATGGCGCTGACGACGTATTTTGAAAATTATTATATACCTCTTTTTTTGTCATAACTATGGAAAAGTCCAGATATTTAAATTAAATTGGTGTCATATGAATGATACAATGATATTTGTGGTATAAAAATGATTCACTGACCATAGTGAAATATATATATATATATATATATATATATATATAGGTGGGCTTCAAAAACTGATGTTCATGTTTTAATAGATGGCGCTGATGGCGCTGGGTTTATAAAAATTACAATTTTTTTTGCTATAACATTTTTCGTATTGCTGATATTCAAGTAAAAGTGGTGTCATATGAAAGGTATAATTGTATACTTTTTTGGAAATAATTGAAATTTCAAAATTAATTGAACATTAATATAAAATTGGAGTTTTAAAATTAGTTTAATATTAATATGAAATTTGAGTTTCACGATTAAGACTGTTTTATTTATTTTAAGGCTGAAAGAAAAAAGTTTTTCGGCCGAAATCGTATAAATAAATTCCTCTAAAATGAATGTTCTCTCCGCTAAGATTTTATATTTACAAATTTTAATATTTTCTTCCATACATTCCCGCAAAAGCATCTCCCGCCAAAATCTCATTTTTTAAAAATTATACTGTGGCGGACCACAATATTGTTCCGTGCTTCCTTTTTATTATGCATGTTATTCGTTTATATTTAATTTATATAATTTACTATCATTGCTTTTATTTTGTAGTCTAGCTACTTTTATTTCACTTTTTTATTAGAAATATATTCTTAATTTTTCCGCATACTAACATTCATTGTACTTTTTTATAATTTAATTTAATTTAATTTAATTTAATTCAATTACTAATATATATTTTCATTTCATTACTCTTTTTCATTACAGACGACGAAGGCATTGCTGAATCTGGTATGTAAGAGGTATGTTGTCGGATCATGTAACCCCCAAAAAACTTTCACAACCAATGCTTCCTGATCCACCTTATACATCCATCCCTCCCAACTTCCCTTAAACATCTGCAGCAGCTAATCCTCAATTGTTAGGGATATGGTATAATACAATAATAAAATTAATATATATACATACATATATATATGTAGACATATATACTTGACAAATTCTGATATTAGATATACATATAAATATAAACTATTAAACCATATATATACAAAAAATGTATATTTATTAATGAAAAGCCACATAAAACAAACGTAAATTAAATTGGAAACAAAAATTGTATTTTATGATATTTATTGGAATGCGAAGAAGAAAACCTAACTCAAAATATTACAAAGAAAAACTCATCATTATTAAGAAAGAATCTCTTGCCAATAAGAACAAAATAAAAGTGAAAAAACAACAACAAGAACATAAACATATATATAAACAATGTATTTTTTAGATAACAATGAAAACAAAACAAGGACACTTAATTAAACTATTTTACATTAAATGTATACAACAAGAAAAAACAACAACATATAATAATTATATATATTAAATATTTAAAGGAAAATGTAATTTTTTTATTTCATAAGTTAAACAAAAAAAAATATTTCATATTAAAAAATACAACATTTTGACAATGCAATCTAAATGGAGGATTATTATATTCATACAGTTTCGATTAAAATTATCAGTTAAAAATGGTAATTTAAATAATTTATTAGCTAAAAAATTGAAGTAATTTGTCGTCAATTTTATTTGAAGTAGTAAAATATCCAACCTATATTTTGTATTTTTATAAATGTATTCAAAATACATTTTTAAAATTACCAATTATCCCCATAAAAAATACGTTGTCGTACACAGAATTGAATACAACTTTTTTTGATTTTATAAAAGTGAAATCTTTTAATATTAGATTCTGGAACAGACCAATAATTTACCTTTAAGTTTTGATAGTTTAAAAACCAAAATGGTCTGAAATGTTTGTTTCTCATAAAAATCGTAATTATATTTCCACCATTAGGTTTTCAAGCAACATTAGAGAATTTATAATATTGTGTCATATTTTCTAAATATTTATATAAATATATAAAAATGTAACAAATCAAACAACCCTCGGTTTAAATTGCATTTTCGGAATTGTTGTGTTTTTTTATATAAACAACTATATACAATTTTTTTTAGATGCAATTGTTTTATATATACACAAAACACACCTAATGTAACACTAATCAAGAAACAAAATATTATGTTAAATTATTATCACATTATTATTTTTTATTTTACAAACAAGAAACTGTATTATTTTTGTTTTAATTTTTTTTTTTCTTTTTGCCGTTTGAAATTTAAGCTTGTGTGAATGTAAATTGTAGAAATGATAAACAAACAAAACAAAAACAAACAACTCTTAACAAATTATAAACAATATGAAATGCAATAATAATTTAAATTTATAAGTGTAATTGTTAATATTCATCATAGTAACTGTCTTTAACGCCAATGTATTTCTTTTTTTTTTTTTTTGTAATTTAATTTTCTGTTTTCTTTTCTGTTTATTTGTTTCATACATAAGAATATCGATTTAAACATTTTGTTTTTGAATTGTTTCCCCATTTTGATGTTTATTTTTGTTTAAGATTTTTTTCGGCGTCCATTATTAAAACAAAAAAAAAACAAGAAGCAAACAATTGTAAATTTTTATTGTGTATGTTTTGATTTAAATAAATAATAAAAAAACATCACTCATCTATAAAACAAATGTGTGTTTTTCTTATAAAATGTCAAGTAAGTATTAAAAAAGTAAGTAAGTATTAAAAAACATTTTACTTAAATAATATAATTATGGGAAAATAATGATTTAAGAATCAATTAACCACAACGTATCTCATTTATGCCTGAAAGTATGCTTTAAATAATGTCCATTCCCTAAAAAGTTGGCAACACTGGCATAGACATGCGGATAGCGCCATCTATTGAAACACATGATTCGAAATGGCAAATCAAAATTTGAAGAAATGTTTTTTCATCAAAAATGACATATCGTTAAAAAATTAAATTACGTTTTTAAAATAGTTTAGAAATAAAAATAAATTTAAAAAATGACAAAATCGTAAAGTAGGGATCTTAGTCTAACGGCACATAATAAGAGAGGGCTACTCCTAATACGTTTTTGTATGGAAAACGAGGCCTATTGCGTATCGGTTGAAACAATTTATCATTATTTTTGGATTTTTTAATACTTTGAAAGGTTTGACTACATTTTCCCAACAATTTGGAAGTGGAGATTATTATTGCATAAAAATCATATTTAAAATTTATTGATATGTGTCCTATTTTTGGGTTTTTTTTAATTATTCCTATACCCTTTTATACATCGAAAAACAGCCGATACTGTTCTATGTGAGAAATACCAATTAAGATCTCCTCTGTCAAATGGGTTAGAAAATGCAGTAAACCCCTTTAATATTTAATTCATATAAAAAATAATGATTTACAAAACAATTAACCACGTTTCTCATTTACGCCTGAAAGTATGCTTTAAAAAACGTTTGTTCTTCAAAGAGTTGGCAACACTGGCAAATACATCCGGATAGCGCCATCTATTGAAACACATGATTCGAAATGGTAAATCAAAATTTAAGGCATATGTTTTTCATCAAAAATGACATATCGTTAAAAAATTAAATTGCGTTTTTAAATAGTTTAGAAATAAAAATAAGTTTAAAAAATTACACAACTGTAAAGTAGGGATCTTAGTCTAACGGTGCATTATAAGAGAGGGCTACTCCTAATACATTTTTGTATGAAAACCAAGGTATTTTGCACTTCGTATTTAGGTTGAAACAATTTATCATTATTTTCGGATTTTTTAATACTTTGAAAGGATTGACTACATTTTCCAAACAATTTGAAAGTGGAGATCATTACTGCATATAAATCATTTATAAAATTTATTGATATATGTCCTATTTTTGGTATTTTTTTACTTATAACAATTTCGGCCGATTTTCGATTTTTAAAATGGTATAGCAACAATTTCAAAACAAATTAGGAATAATTTGGCATTAAATTAATATTCAATATTGACGAAATAGAAATTCAGTTTTACCTCATGGTGGAAATATAATAATATGATACCCTACCCAACATTGATTATATTGAAGAGTTTTATCGCAACTAAATTTGTTTGAATTGGTTTTTTCTAGTCGCAGGGAGGTGTTGTTGTGGTATTCAACGAAAAAAATCTGTTTTTTTAATAAACAAACAACACCTCCCTGTAGTTTGCAGAAAAATAATTAAAAACAAAAATTGGTTCCAATATAATCAATGTTGTGTAGGGTATCATGTTGTCCTATATATCCACAATGAGGCAAACCAACATTTCTATTTCCTCAGTATTAACAATTTAATGCCAAATTAGAGCTAATTTCTTTTGAAATTGTTCCATACCATTTAAAACATCGAAAAACAGCCGATACTGTTCTATGTGAGAAATACCAAAAATAGGACCCATATGAATACACTTTAAAAATAATTTTGATTCAATTAAGATCTCCTCTGTCAAATGGGTTAGAAAATGCCGTAAATCCCTTTAAAATATTCAAAAATGGGAAAATAATGATAAATTGTTTCAACCTAAATACGATGTACAATATGCCTCGTTTTTCATACAAAAGTGTATTAGGAGTAGCTCTCTCTTATTATATAACGTTAGACTAAGATCCCTACTTTATGATTGTGTAATTTTTTTAATTTGTTTTTATTTCTAAACTATTTAAAAACGTAATTTAATTTTTTAACGACATGTCATTTTTGATGAAAAAATTAAAATAAAAAATTGATTTTCAAATTCCAATCATGTGTTTAAATAGATGGCGCTATTTGCATGTCGTTGCCGGTGTTGCCAAACTTATCAAAAATATTCTACCAATGTACGCAAGTAAAGCATACTTTTAGGCGCAAATAAAAGAAGTTAAATGAATTTGTTAGAACATTTATTTTTTTATTAATATAATTTATTGCTATTTTTTAGAATTTATAAACAACTAAATTACAAATATCATCTTATATATGAATAAATAGTGTACTGAAATAAGTAAAGTGAAAATGGAAGTGAGATTAAATTTGATAAAGGGCACATTTTTTCGTTTAACTTTTATAATTTTCAAATGTTGTTCCTTTGTGTGTTTTTAATGCTATAAAAAGAAATATGAATTTATACTGCTGGTTGTTTACATTCCCCAAGCCGTGGTAGGATGCTTCTAATACATAATCCAAAAGGTATTTCCCACCATTGTCCTCCTATTGCGATCGAATCGAATCTGAAATGAAACACATTCATTAAATTAATAAATTAAAAATAATTTTTAGTGACACGTATAAAAGAAAATTGCGTCTGTTTTCAAGTTATAGTGTGTATTAGAAAATAAATATTTGTTTTCTTAATAAAATATTAACAAAATATGAATTACCGTATACAACAAACCAGTAAAATTTACATTTGCAATATTTTGTTAGGTTTACAAATTCCAAGATAAAAATTCTCTACAATATTAATGTTTCACATATTGTTACTATTTTTCAATAAAATTCAATATAAAAATTAACAAAATATTAAAAAAAAAGAAAAAAGAATTGCATCGGCCGGGAATCGAACCCGGGCCGCCCGCGTGGCAGGCGAGCATTCTACCACTGAACCACCGATGCCTGTGTTAGGTTGAAGACAACTAACACACAAACGATTTATAGTTTGAAATTTATTGTTCAAATACAGCAAATTTGTTCAAACAGGTGTATGGATGTATCAGTGCACACATCCATTAACTCCCTAAAACAAAAAGTTAAGAAAATTGATGACGAAGAGTATTGTTTTTAAAATTCCTTTTTAATATGAATTCAAATTTTGTAATATAGAATTATTATTGATTAATATTGATTATCCAAGAAAGATTTTTTTTAATATAAGCAGTTATGACTCTAACAAGTCTTTTAATACATAAATTTAATATTTTTAAATATTGGATTTAATCGAAGTGTGCACTGAAGTCTCATATGTATGTATGTCAGCCAGTGGTTTGCGGAGATCTTCTGATTTAATTTTGTTCAATTCGGTTATTCAATTCGATCCAAATTAAATTTACAAGTTTACAAAATATTGGCCCTTTGTGGGGGTTTGTACCAGAAGGAGTGGATCAATGGGTCCCATCTTGGGACTTGATCTAGGCTTGATAGAGATCGTATATTCCATTCACCTAAAATTTAATTTATAAATATTGTAAATATTGAAAATTTTGATTATTTGTGGGGGGGGGAAGAACCAGAAATGTCCGATTTGCACCATTTTATTGTATGATTTGTTGCCATTTTAAAGGTAACTTCATAATGCCTCTCTCATAGAAGTCCTGCTCTCTTTTTGCAAAAAACTCTAGTAGTCGATTTACACAATACTCCCTAGATACAAAATTTTTATCATTAAAGAAACTTTGCAATGCAAGAATATTATGGTGATCGCTTGGTGCCAAGTCGGGACTGTATGGTCTATGCATTAAAACTTCCCAACCAAGCTCCCGAAGTTTCTGGCGAGCCACTGTAGATGTGTGTGGCCTAGCGTTGTCCTGGTGGAACACGACACTTCTCCTGTTGGCCAATTCAGGCCATTTCTGGTCAATTACTATCTTCAAACGGTCCAGTTGTTGACAGTAGAGATTAGAATTTAGCGTTTGGCCATATGGAAGCAACTCGTAATAAATAATCCCCTTCCAATCCCACCAAATGCATAGCAGAACCTTCCTGGCTGCTTGTCCTGGTTCAACACCGTTTGAGGTGATTCGCGCTCAATGACCACGATCGTTCTCACACGGGGTTATCGTATGTGATCCCTTTCTCATTTCCAGTCACCATCCGTTGGGCTGTGTGGTGACAGACGTTGGCCGAATAAGACTCGTGTCGTTTTGGATCGTAGACCCCTCTGTATATAACTTCATTAGCCATAAGGCTGTGGGTGTAAACATCGATGTTTTCCTATAGTCTCTATACAGGTGGAAAAAAGTAGGACAATAATTGATAACTCAACATTTGGAAGAATAAGTACTAATAATGTCCTATTTTTTTATAAACCATTTGTAAATTTTATACTTTTTCCGATCTAACTATCATGGTGTTCGGATCATAAATATGGTATATAGAGCGATTAGAAAAACAGACAAAAATAAAAATTTTGGTACATTTGAACCGGAAAGTATTAATCAATATTCATCGATAATTATAATTATAGGTGTTATCCTTGAACTTCATCGAGAAGGCTGCAAAAAATGTCACAAAGAGTTGCATCACTAAGTTTTGGTAGAAAGATGTGTCGAGCAATCAAAATTCAGCATACCAAATTACAGCCAATTCCGCTGAAAAGCGTGTCAAAAATCCCAAAACATTTTATGGGACCGTTATATGTGGGCTATAACAAAACGTGGACCGTTATATCCCATTTTTAATACCAATCACTTTTGAGTAGTAACAATGTACAAAATTTCTAAGCTCTATCTTCAATAAATCGGCATGCATAAATCGACATAGAATTTTATTCTGATAAAGAATATACATACATACGTACATGTACATATATGCACTTTTGGGGTCTACCTTGAATATTTCGAGGTTTTGCAAATTAAATGACAAATATAATATTCCTCCACCTTACTTATATTTTTTTAACTAAAAAATATATTTTACCTTATAAAAATAAAAAAACACTAATTTTATAAAAAAAATAATGAAAACATTGTTTTTTGTCTCGAATACCAAAAGTTTTCAAAACGAATTACACGTAAAAGTGGCAACTAACAACGTGTTACTAAAACACATTGCTACTGAATATAAAAATGTAATATAAATATATCATAAACAAGCAATTGTATCCGATTCTTTGTTTATAACTAGTTCCATGCACACGTGGCTACTGATTTGAAGCCTCCCTGTAGGAAATGTCTACAGTAAATCAGTATTGACTTACTATTGACATCGTCACCAATACTGTTGACCGACTATACCCAACACAATGCATTTTACTATTGACATTTAACATGTGCTTGTCATTGGAAATGAACTAGTGACTTGGTCAGTAGTAAGTCAGTAGTTTTTAGATATAGACACAGCGTCGCATATGTGGACACGGTCAGTAGTAAGTCAATAGTTTGTATATATAGACTAAAGGTCACATATGTCACTTGTAAATTTTTTATAATTTCTTTTGCTCAAAAAATTTTTCACCAATTAATTAATTAATTTAATTATTACCATTAATAACTTTAAACTCGCGTTTTTAACAAAATATCTGTCTATTGCCGCCAACATATTTATAATTAAAGAAAAAAAGAAGAAGCATAACCATGCTCAGTTGGTTGTTAACATAACAAATGCTTCTTCTTATTACATGAAATGTAGACAAGTTGTAGAAAATATGGAGACATGTCACCACAATAGTAGACAAAGGCGATACAACACCCCACATTTCCTTCAGGGCTCATCCACATGGTTTATTATCTACGAACTGGTTGTTGTATTCATACAAATGTGTATACAATGATTGTGTGTATGTTTGTATATTCAATGGTTGATACAAAAATTCACCCAACAGACAAACTAACGCAAACCACAGCGACGACTGACGTGCTGTATTGAATGTCGTGTGTGTTATTTTTTTGTATATTATTCGTGAGAATTCTCATTCACGTTGAACTACTTTTCGGTGAAATAACTCACGTTGTGGTTGTAAAAGTTAAGACTATACTTCACAGGATCATTTCTGTAGTCAGTCTTCAATTACTTTCATTGCAAAATGAAAAATCACACACCCGCGATGAGGAGGTACATCGTTTTATCTGTAGCGTGAGGTTTTGAACTTTGTCTTTTGTTTGCCGACTTGTTTCGGTTAATTGGGACAAAGTTTCTTCGATGATCGCTCGATTAAACGGATAAAACGACTTCTGAGTGGTGTTTCCCTTTTAAATTAATACATTTCACTAAATAAAATAGGCTAAAGAAAAAAATGTGTATGTCAACTTGTAGGAAAAAAATGTGTGGCACACATTAAAGATTTCCCCACATCAGCGGTGGTCTTGGTCTCTTGTTTTTTTTTTACTTTATTAATATTATTATTACCTTTAAAAATCACTTTCGACTATCTTTGTGCTTCATAATGTTTTTTGATATTCCCGTATCTTTTTTCTGAAAGGTTATTAGCCCAAACTTTAGGGAAAATTTTTGAAAATTGTCAATGTGTGTGAATTTCATTTCAGAATCATTTAGAAAAAATCTATTTATTTTGCTAAGAAATACATTTATCTTGCTAAGAAATTTAAACGATTGTTTTTTTTATTTTATTTAGAAGTGTCTTCGATTATTTTAAATAAAAAGTATACATAGAAAATATTTCATCATCGTTTCATATTTTCAATTATCAATGTCTGCGTATGAAGAAAAAAAAAGCGATTTGCATCGGCCGGGAATCGAACCCGGGCCGCCCGCGTGGCAGGCGAGCATTCTACCACTGAACCACCGATGCTTATACCGTACCCACAAATGACACGGTATGAGTCAGGCTGTCAACTTTGTTGCTATGTTAAATGTTTAACTACCAACAAATTTTTTTATAAAGCAAATAAGTCTTCAGAGCTCTCAGGGCGTTGGTGGTGTAATGGTCAGCATAGTTGCCTTCCAAGCAGTTGATCCGGGTTCGATTCCCGGCCAACGCACATGCTTTTTGTTATTTTAAATTTTTTTAATTAATGACGAGTTTTGTGACTATATTTATGTTAGTAAGCAGACAGATCTCACATTTAACAGACAGACAACATCTCACATTTAAAACAAATTAAAATATAAAGTTAACAAGACTATTTCAAAAAATGCTTATTTAGCTAAAATAAAAACAAATGAAACTATCAATAACGCAAAGAGCGTTTAAAAGGCAAAAAGTGCATAATAAAGAAAAAATATACATTGCTTTATTTTGAACTATTATAGATGCATTAAAAAGAAGTAGGGACAACGCCTGAGTACCACTAAAAAAAGCGACTAAAGAAAATATCAACGCAATCAAATTTTAGAAAACTAAAAAAAGTCAATTGCATCGGCCGGGAATCGAACCCGGGCCGCCCGCGTGGCAGGCGAGCATTCTACCACTGAACCACCGATGCTTGCGGTATGAGCAAGCAGCCTCCCTTACATCGGATTATGAAGAAAACAAAAAAGTTGCATTCGATAGGGTTTGCGAACAGGTTTTATTATTCGCTTATATAAGTTATATGTTATTATCAAAGAAGTTTCCGATTTATTCGCTTTATATAAGTTATATGTTATTATCAAAGAAGTTTCCGATTTAATGCTGATCAAATCGGTTATTTAATTCGCTTCACATTAAATTTACAAGTTTATAAAATATTGAACCCTTGTGGGGGAGGTACCAGAAGCACGGGGTTTGGTAAAGATAAAACGTTCTGCAAAGTTGAAATTTTTGGTCATTTGTCGGGAGGTACCAGAAGGAGTTAAACAATGGGTACAACCTTCGGGCTTGATCCAGGCTTGGTAGGGATATTCGAATTTAAACTAAGTTTTAAGGAAATGCAAAGAAAAAAATGTGCAAAGTTTGGATGAAATCGATTATTCCTATTCGAGAGTTATCGTGCGCACTATCCGGGCAGACGGATCGAGCTGCAGCGACTACGTTGGCTAGGCCATCTTGTGAGAATGGGTGAAGATGCCCCAGCTCAAAAGGCATATAAAAGCGAGCCAAGTGATGGTTCACGCAGAAGCGGAAGGCCACGAATCCAATGGAAAGATCAAGTAGAAGATAACATCTCGAAAAATGGTATTTCAAAATATGCACACAAGCTCGGGTTCTGTCAAAAGCCAGCTATCGTTGCTTTATAAAAATAAAAAAAAAACATCTAGGATAACTCCTGACTATTTTGATTAAAAACAAATGTCAACATACGGAAAATTAACATGTACCTTCTATACCGAAAAAACGTTTTTCTCTCTTATGAACGCAAAATGCCGAAGAATCATCTTCAAAATACTAAACAAATGGAACCGAAACAATATTAGCATTAGCAATTTTCGGCAAAACATTTTTTTACAATACTAGAACCCGGAAAGCAAAATTCAGTTGAAAAATGCGGCAAAAACCTTACTGACAATTTTCTGTAAAAATTGTTATAACCCTAACCTTGGATATAAGGAGAAATGGTTTACCACAGGGTCTCAAGACATTCAGTGGTTCCATTAAATGTTATAAGAAAGCTTTGATTGAATATGCTAATTTGCATGATTTTTTTTTTTTTGTATTACTTGCCGTGATATTGTTGTTGCATAGCTGATTTACTTAATTATTTTGCTCTAATTTAATTTTTCGTCATATTCAAAAATTTCCTTAAGGGACATAAATTGGAGCTTGTGTGGGTATGTAGTATAATCAAATTGTACACAAAGATATCCTACAACATATTCATTGGAGTCACTTTTCATGTGTATCTACTTTAACTCTTATTTGTTAGTTATTAAATACAATCTTTTGCCAAGTTTGGTACATATTAAAGCTTTGGCATATTATTTCGTGGGATTTCTAAAATCCAGTTTTCCGACATAAACATGTCAAATGGAAAATTATTCGCGTTAACAGGACAATGTTAAATAACAAAATTAAAAATGTACGTTTTTATGTTAGAAAGATATTGTCACAAGCATCGGTGGTTCAGTGGTAGAATGCTCGCCTGCCACGCGGGCGGCCCGGGTTCGATTCCCGGCCGATGCAGTCTACTTTTTTTATATATATAATATTTATATATTTTACAATATAAAAAAACATTAAAATGTTTATAAAAGTACTATTGCATCGGCCGGGAATCGAACCCGGGCCGCCCGCGTGGCAGGCGAGCATTCTACCACTGAACCACCGATGCTTATATATATGTGAATAATAAGAAAAAACTATCGAGTTTAAATATATTTTTAATATTTATATATTATAAATCACACATACAAATTGAAAAAAAAACGATAATACGAGTTCTTAAATTCTAAGAAAAAATTTACGTTATTTAAAAAATATATATATAATAATTACGTTTAATTAGAAACTAAGACATTCGGTTCTATTGAATGTAAAATATTGAATCCTTGATGTAGTATACAAACTCGTGGTACTCCACATTCCACAAGATATTTAGAAAACTGCAAAAATACAAAAAAGTAAATAACAACATTACAACTCCACTTGAATGGCTTAAATATTTTTAATAACACAAGCACAATGATTTTTTGAGCTGAACTATTTGCAAACCTAATATCACTATGATTGAAAATATGTTAAATATTTTCAGAACCTAAAGAAAATCGAATTTCTAGGGACTATCCATTGAACTTTAATAGCAACCTGCTATTAATCCATTTCTAAGCTTCGCTATGATTGATTAGCAGAGATCAACGTTATAGATTTTATAAAGGCAGGTTGAGAAAATGTGACAGTATCTATTGATTATCATTTTTGATCTTGGTTAGGATTTTGCGGTGACTGACGGAGTGACTTTGAAATTGTATATTATCAAGAGTTTACATAAATAAAATATATTCAATATTTGCAATAAACACACACACATACTGTTCTCTGTTAAGGTACAGCTAGCTCAATACGAATTTAAATATGTTGACATGATTTCAGATTTCGTTTTCAAACATCGTTACTATTGATTAATTGAGATCTAATTTTATAAACTTTTTAAATTTAGGTTAAAAATTGTTCAGTATCAACTGAATAGCATCTTGATTAGAATTGGGAAGTGCCTGGTCGAGTGGTATTGTAATTGTATATTATCAGGAGATTATGAAAATAAACCAAATTTAATATTTAAAATCAAGACACTATATCCTAGCCCAATACGTATTTAAATATTTTGGTTTAAATATTAAGAAGTTAGTGAGAACGTCCACATCATATTATACATCTCATAGAAATTCATCCAAAAATTATAGAAATATTTAAATGTTAAATTATTAAGCACACAATCAAGTTGAATTACATTAATTTGAAAAGGCTTTATTTCTAAATATCATATGCTCGGTGTGAAAAAAATATGTGTGCTTCAATTTATCGGTATACAATACACTCGATTTTTAATTGGAATGATAACCTAACATTCTCTAACTTGTGATATAAGTTATGAGTTTTTTTTTTCAACAAAAACTTACCTGAACAGCATTTTCGTGGATATTGCTTATACAAATTATTATACGATTGTGCATTTTCTCTTCCAACAGTGGCTCGTTTAGTGAATCCAATGATTTCTCTTCCAGATTGATGTTGTTAAATGGTATATTTATGCTATCAGGCAAATGTACACGATTAAACTCGGAAACACTTCGAATGTCAAGGCAAAGCATAGCGTTTGGATCATTTTGAAGCATAAAATGCAAATCATTAGCGCTAATGCGCGGTGACATTTCTTTCTGCAAATGGGCAAGCGTGACATCTGGTGTGATATCCTAAAAATCAACAAAATATTATTACTTAAATTAATTACATTTATTTGAGCAAAACAACTTACAAATGGTCCAAGTTCTTTCTCCCTAACTACATGGAATCGGTGGGCTATACTCTTGGGGGTACACTCGTACATTTTTTGCGATTCAACAACACAATTTTCCATAACAATATCTGGCAGATCCGAAAACAATAATATACATTCATTGAATCCCGATGCCAATAGTGTAGATTTTAATTGTTTCAATATGGAAATGCCAATATATAGGGGATAGGAATTATCGCCCAACATTAGTTTATCCCACAAGTGTAGAATTTTATGCAATGGGAAAACATCTAAAAAGAAAATACTATTAATAAAATGTATTACAGTTTCGTAAACGTTATATTACTTACGCGAGAACATAGTTAAAAACCATGGTATTGCAAATAACTCCGGTATAAATGCTATATTCGATAAATGCTGAGCCAATACTGGTTCATGAAATGCAGTCAATTGTGAAAATTTACATAGATATTCCTTGATTATGGCCGAATTGTCTTTGAGGAAAAACCATTGTAAATATTTCGGTATGAATTTGTAGACGCTGTGAAAAGCAAGCTCTTCATTGTTAAAGTTTAAATACAGGAATGGTGCAGTAAGTGAATCAAGCCCCTGCCAATAGACATATTGTGGATGGGCGGTAACCCAAGCTTTAAGAAGTCGTTTCAGTTTTAAATGCCCCTCGGGAGAGGATAACAACTCATCATATTGATGGCAGCGTGGAATATCCACTTCGATCTAAAGAAGAAATTAATGAGTAAAAGAGTTGCACTTGTTTAAATTAATATCTTACCTGACGATCAGTTGAGGTGGGTGTAAATTTATCGATTTTTTCATAACTTCCATTTGGTATAACATCCAAAAGGCATGCCCATATTTGGCCTCTTACCAGAGGGGGTATATCAACTGCTGCTTCTTTTCTTATTGTGTCTGAGGTGTAAGGATAACCCTAAAAAGAAGGGAGAGGGGAATCTTCAATTGTTTTTCCTTTCCAATTTTATAAATTTTCTTGTTCTTCGTTATGTTTTCTTAAATCGTTTATTGACACACTTACCTGCAGCAAACGGGAAAATAATCGCACTCTATAAAACTGATATTCGATATCCTTTTCACGTATAACCAACGGCAACTGATCCATACCGGCACCAAAATTATATGGAAACTTTGGTGAGTGTATTAGTGGATAATAAGCCATAGCGGGAATTTTACTCAAACGATCCAATAGATTTTGCATTTTTAATGTTACAACACGATCATCCATTAAATACGACTGACTACGTTTGGGTCCAGCTATATTACCATTCAAACATACAACTTGAGGTATGGATAAAATCGGAGCTTCACTGCGAATAAGTCCCTCCTTTTTCAGTTCGGCTTGTACATCTCCGCCAGCTAATTGCCACCAATAGTAAATCTGTTCCAATGGCATACGTAACAAAAGTTTTGGAGACTTTTCCTTTGGTGTCACCAAATACAAATCGAGATTGTTCACAAACATAGCATGATTCAAAACATCTTGTGGTAATGGTCTATCTGAGGGTTTTACCGCCAAACATTGTTCTATGAGGTTTCGCAAATCTGGTTCCAGTTCTTGATAAATTTCAAGTTTATCATGTTCCCTTGCTATCTTCTCGAAAACGTTTGGAGACTGACAGAAGGATAGAATTTTTCTTGATATACTTGAAATTTTAAGATTTGGCCAGAACTGAGTTTGTAAGAACAACTCAGCAATTATCATACCCAGAGACCATATATCACTTTTGCAATTGTTCTTAATGCCCACCAGACGTTCGGGTGGCATATACTTGATGTTTCCAATTGGAAAGGCAACATGTTCGCCACTTTTTGTCATGTAAAATAAACCATAATTGAACAATTTTACATTATCATAGGCGTCCAGGAGAATATGTTTTGGCTCAAGATTGTGTGCAACAAGCTTGTGTTCATTTAGCTCCTGCAAGGCCGATGCCACTTGATAAAAAATCCTCAATATTAAAGCAGTATTCAGTTTAGTTTTACTTCGATCCTGCAAAGTTGTGCCATGATATTCTGAAACCACAACAGTTCGCTCTAAAAAACATAAAAACCAAAGAAAAAACATTTAATCCCTAGTATTTAGATAATATCCAAACAGAGTTTATAAAAGGGGCGTTGTCCCAAACATACCATGTTTGCCGCGTATCACATCCAAATACTGACATAAATTCGGATGCCGAAATTCCTTAAGCTTTTGAGATCTACCCAATATAGCTATGGAATTTGGTGTCAAGGGTAATCCATTGCTTCCACAGACTTCGCCAGCATGAGCTTTGGCAAAAAATGTTATAGCTGCCATCAACGATTCCTGTTTATTCACCATCTTGAATGGTATGCGAACGTATATCTTTTCTATATACTTCGGGTATTCGCAACAGAGTAGAACATACTATAAATTTAACAAGTTTCGGTTTTTGTTAATTTATTGAAAAATGGAAAAGATTCGCGTATATGATAACAAAGACGGTATTTTTACAATCATCGGCGTAAAATAACAAGAAATATGAAGCAAAACAAAACCGATAAGAAAGCGTAATCAAAACGATGGCTTTTGCTCTGTTGTTACGATATCGTAACAACATTTTCTGTTAATTACAAAGAGAACAAAATTTTTTACTCTCTGAAATGCAATGGAATAATGACAGAAAAACCCTAGAGAGTTTAAAAACAATTTATATGGCTGGCAAAATTCTGAAAATATATATGATGTGTTTCACAATATGCAAGGCGAATTTTTGTCGCTGCTACAGAAATGTATTAAATATACAGTAAGAAGAGAGTATGTACATATGATATATAATTAATATTATATATAACCAATGATGGGCAAAATTTCTCTTAAAAATGTTTAAGGGAAAATAAAAACGTTAATTATTCTTAGGAATTTATTAAAATTAATATTTTTAAAGCATAAATAATATGCCAGGAAGTTCAAAAAATTAATTCATTAAAAAAATTTCGGAAAAAAATTCATTAATGTTTATTTTTGTTTTAACATCAAAAAAATGTAAAGCTAACCCATCAACGCTGATGTGCAAGTCTGCCCAACTATGTATATAACCAAAAATAACATAGTATTTTAGGGTTTTAGTAATTTGAAGGCTTTCTCCTACACCATAGAATCGTTTTAAACGACAGCTTATTGAACTTTGTATACAAATGTGGTGTTGTGTGATTAGTGTAAACCATACATATGTTGTAATAGCGTGGTTTTATATTTGCCGGGATCGGGATCGGTGTTGAGAGTCTCTCTCTCTCTCTCTCAGTGGTAAATTGTGAATTGTGTTGGAAAACATTGCCACAGGTAGGAACAAAAAAGTACGAAAAGGTACCTAAAATTCTACTTCAAATGATAATAAATCATAATTATCGAGAAATATTGGCCAATATTTATACCAGTTGTTTGCATAAATAATATATGTTATAATTTAAGCGTAAATGTATCCACGGATAATAAAAAATATAATTTTTGTTTTGGTACGTTTATGTCAATTCGTACCTTTTGTGAACAAAAAGTACGCTTGTTACAAAATTAAAAATAGCGCAACTCTAATTACTCTCCCAAGAGAGAGAAACTCTCAACACCGATCCCGATCCCGACAAATATAAAACCACGCATACGGATCTCAAATGCTTCAAATATACGCATATAGTCTTATACCATGTTCTGGCGGGCATTTGAACAACGTTGTTCTCTCTCTAATTATACCCTTCGCCACACTGTGGTACCGGGTATTATGTCTTTGGCATATGTTTGTTACAGGCAAAAGGAAACGAGATGGACACATGGTTGCTTTTGAGAATATGCATAGAATCACTATCTGAGTCGATTTATGCATGTCCGTCCGTCTGTAGATGTTAAATTGTAAACAAAGTGCAGGTCGCATTTATGATCCGATTTAGATAAAATTTGGCACAGCTCACTTATTTAGCCCAAGGACGAACCCTATTGAAATTGAAGAAAATGGGTTCAGATTTATGGTGTACCAAAGTTCCTATATAACATTCGATTTGCACAAAATTTTGCACAGCGTACTGAATTGTGTCTAGAATGATGTGTGTCAAGTTTCGAGAAAATCGGTTCAGATTTAGATATATAGATTTAAGGTAAATGGGGCACCAAAGTCCCTTCATATATTTCAATTTGCACGAAATTTGGCATAGGTTACTGAATTAGGTCCAGAATGATATGTGCTAAGTTTCTAGAAAATCGGTTCAGATTTAGGCATAGCTCCCATATATACTTTTGTCAGATTTTTTGTAAAAGGTGCACCAAAGTCCCCCATTTTCGGTGTCATTTTTTTATTTAATTCGAATCTACTCTTGAAGATAAAGCCGATTTATTGTGTCAGCTTCAAGTGACGGCAAGAGTGATTCTCAAACTTTTAATGCATTGTTTCGCGAATGGCGGGCACGATATCTCATAAACTAATAATCCAATCGGTCTGTTAGTACCCAATTAATAATAATAAAACACGTTTTTATACTTTTTTGTTGCTGTATAATTATGTATTTATTGCCATAAATGAGTTTTTTTTAATCCCTTAATAATTTTGTTTTTTTTAGATTTTTTTGTTTTTTGAGGAGGAAGTGACGGAGGATATTTTAGACATAACTATAAAAGATAGATTAAAACCAATAAGCGGATCAGCATAGTCGGTCGGGGCCGACCATATGATACCCTACACAAAATTTGACATCCTGTAGTTTTATAATCTGAGCTTGAGCAATATTTGCACCCTCTTGACCAACTAGAGGTCAAAAAATATTACAAATATTCAGTACAGCCCTTCTAATTGCTTGTGCTGTGATGTTCGGCTTATAATTGTGCCTATAAATCGACCCCAAAAAATAATAAGTTTTTGGTCCACTTCAGCCCAAAATTATTATCTGATCGTCACCGAAAGTTATAACCGTTGTCCTTGACCATAACTGGAACATTTCAAAGCGATCACCGCTATATTTCCGCCCTCCAGTGTGGTAATGGTTTACTAAATAATATTTGAATACCTATCAATTTTAAGGTCAACCACAGCTCTTGGATATACCATCAACTTCTCAGCTCTATGTCCTTCAGGGGTATATCTATTCGCTATAGAGCACAAATTTTGTAATTTTTCACACAAAAGTCAGGGTCCATTTGACCCGTTAAATATTGATCGATGTTTATCATCCTCTGGAGCGACCACAAAATCGGACAAAAATAAAGTTTTTGGTCCATATCTTCCCCTTAATATTTCCCGATCTTTACCAAAAACTATAGGGGTCTTCATTGCCCAGAACCCATCCTACATGCAATATTTCGTGAAGATTGGTCCATAACTGTGGCCTGTATCGTGTTTACAAATAATAACTCGACTCAGCTATAATACCCTGACAACATACTTGTGTAGGGTATAATGAAAGCATTGTTGTTTTTGTATTCATGGGTCATTATTTAAATCCGCATCATCATCTTGAAGCGTCCACATCAGCAGGAAATAAATATATTCCAACAAATTAAAAATTTATAAACAATTTATAAAATTTGGAAAAGTTTCTTCAGTTCAAGCATTATAGCCCAATCAGCCTTAATTAAATCATCACGGAAGTCAGCTTCAAAATGACGGCCAAACATTTTTGTTGATTCACCGGGTATGGTTTCAATTTTAATCCAAATCTCTTGACCTTTGCGAGCCGATTCCAATTGTTTGTAATTTGATTTGATTGAGGTGACAATGCCAATATATCGACAAACTCCTTGCTCGGCACACAAATCGGTGTACCAACATTCAAAATACCATTTTCGACCATTACACCCATGACAATGGCGTCACGACTGTTAAAGATGAAATGTGTAGCCCTCTATAACACAAATTTGACACTAATATTGGAAAATGCGTTTTGTCCAGTCCATGGCACAATGAATAGGTAGTCCATTTAGAACAGCTGATGTCTTGATTAGCTGTCAAAGTGCGTAATTTCTACATGAATTCGATGTGCAATGCTGCCAAGTTTTTGAAATATTATATGGAAAAATTAGACAGATATTCGAGACAAAAACACAGTTTTTTTTGTGATACATCACCTTATTATTGCATCATGGTCCAGTCTTTACGATTGTATGTCTTTGGTTTGGGGCATGGCACAATGAATAGGTAGTCCATTTAGAACAGCTGTTGTCTTGATTAGCTGTCAAAGTGCGTCATTTCTACATAAATTGGATGTGCAATGTTGCCAAGTTTTTGAAATATTATATGGAAAAATTTGACAGATAATCGAGACAAAAACAAAGGTGTTTGTTGTGATACATCACCTTATTATTGTATCGTTGTTTGGGTGTTACTGGGTGTTGTGTTTACTTCAAAGTCCAGTAAAAAAGATCAAAAATAAAGAGAGCTAGTTTGACAGTTGTTGTAAAGGTTGTAGCCTGTATAATAATAGAAGGTAACAGCAAGTAGAAGAAGACCTTAGAAACCTTCAGATATTGTAGAAGATTACCTTCAGCTCTTCTATAAAAAGGCCATCAGATCTTTTATCAGAAGGCCTTCAGCTCTTCTATGAGAAGTCTTTTAATTATTTTCTTATATTGCCTTAATCGCAAGAAGATTTAAATGTCTTTTAGTTGTCTTTTTCTGTTTTACTAGAAGAACCCCTTTTTTCCCACAAAAATTACTTTATCTATTAGAGTTATAATGAAACGTGAACAAGTTTCCTGAAGTCATGTTATGAGCTACGTTGTTCTCTCTGATAATTACCCACACAAATATGAACAAGTTATTATGCAAATATTACTGATTAATGTCAGTATAGTTTATATTTCCCAATACTTTGTTTATTTTTATATATACAATTTTCTGTCCGATCTAATTAAGAATTCTTCTAATTTAGTAGGTATGCTATCGTTACGTCTCTACTAACTAGGACGACGTAGCTTCTACATGTTGGCTGCATTGCAACAATAGCGAGTGAACTGCTACGAATTCTCAAAACTTCAAATAAGTTAAACTACTCGTCGCTGGAATTTCTTTACCAAAAACTTCTCAAAGTGAACGGGTCTGGCGTGCTTAATCGGCTAAATAAAATAAAAAAAAATGGAGTTAAGAAGTGGAATTGTATCAAATTATTTTGTAAAATGAACACATAAAGAAATGGTAAGCAAACACAAATAAAAAGTACATTATTTTAACATAAATCCATTTTTTTCAAATAATGATGAGACTGATGACGAGACTGAGTTTTTTAACTTTTTCGTGAAATTGTGTGTATTTTTCATACAATTTTACAAATTTCGAGTTTTAAAACGAAGATGTTACGGCAGTCTGAATTGCTATAAATAAAATTAT